CTGATGCTAGTATGTTTAGCACATCGTGTTTTCAAATCAGAAAATGTCACTTAAAATTTTAGCTAACTCCTGCCAATTTCAAATGGGAAAAAAAAAAAATTTTTTAGCTATCCAGCCTTGCTTTATAAATCAAGGCACCTTCAGTCCACATTCCAACTTGGCAACAAAGTGCTGAAGCTAAACGGCAGGTGAACTCAAGATTGTCACACTTCCTACCTCTCAAGTACAAACATCAGTTGAAATTCAGCCCCTTGGAGGCCAATAAACTTCCAAATATGCAACCAGTGTTTTATAATGGCTTCTGTCTATATCATCTTCACGAAGGTTCACAAAAATCTGATGCCAGTAGGGATGAGAGTATATTTAATACCCATTTTTCAAAGGGGTCTCGGACAGACTTTCTCCAAGTTAACCTTCTAGTAAACTGTAGCATCGAGACTCTAATCCAGGCTATTATCCAAAGCACGATTTTCCCTTTTGACTACTCTAATTCTCAATATAATGGGAATGTCCATAACTTAGAGCCAAGTTACAGTCACAATTCAAGTAAAAAAAAATGAAACAAAATCCCTTAAAGTCCTTTGTGATAGAACTGAAATTAACTTCGAATCTGAAATTGAAATTTATGGGTTAGATATATACCTGTATGTACAAAGACTACCTATCTGAAAGACCATCTGCCTGTGCCTATTTCTATGTCTATACCTACACACATTCATAGACATGAGAAAACATTTAGTTCAAAAAATTGAAAAGATATACTTTCATTTTATGAAAATATACTAAGTGAAAACAAATAAAAATCCTAAACTGATAAAAATGTGAAGAATCATAATTATATTGAAAACTCACCCAATAAATTAATGCCATCATTCACAATGAGCTGTCCATGACGCAAGTAGTTCAAAATGGGTTCAAAGTACTCAGGACTCCGGTCAATTAAGAAAGCTCCTCTATGATCTTGCTTATTTCCCCAGACGCCTGTGTTACCATTGCAACGAAGAAAGCCCCACATAAAAAATAAAGTTAGAAATTTATGGGAAGAAAATCACGTAATATACCAGTAAGTTTTTACTCTTATAAAAATTATTCACACCATTAAAAAATACAGAGGGTCAGGAGTTATGAAGATCACATAAAATTGGAAAACGCTCACCTTTGTCCTTAAACATGTGGGCCAGCATACTGTCGGGTTCTTTATTCACTAAAGTGCTCCTAAGAATTCAGGGAAAAAAATTGATTTCTCCATTTGTCTTTATAAACAAACATATTTAAGTCAAGAGTATACTCGATCCCAGCTGCTCTCTCAAAAAGATGCATGCTACAACCTGGTAGGAGTAATGCTGGGAAACAAAAACGTGCAGTAAGTTGCCACTTATCAAAATCCCTTCTAAATTGGCACTTCCTTTGACTTATATATTATTTTAGTTGCCTTTACTTTAAATGTTAATCTAGCCTGCTAGCAAACTATTACATAATAATATTCTTGATCTTCTAAACTTATACTTTTCTGATCACTTCAATAAAAGCAGTCGTAATCTCTATGTATTCCAGTAGTGTTAATTTTTACTTGTATTGCATGTGTATTACCCAATATCAAAAAAGTATGCTCTAAAACACAATTCATGCTTTTTATGCTTTCTCTGGAATGACTTGTAACCATGTTTTACTTTTCTTCAAAAAAAGTTCTAAAAATGGTTTCAGACCACACAGTATATTTAAGCAGCATGTGAATATCTTTTAAGGAAATCAGTAAATTAGAGGAAAGAAAAAATGGTATATAGCATTACTTTTGCATTCTCTTTCTCTGTCTTTAACACACATACACATACACCTACCGTGTAGTTGTAAAGTACCGCCCTCCAACATTTAATGTTAGCCAGTCTGTGTGGGATCCTGACAGTCCTTCGGGTGGTTTAGAATCTGTCTGAGGATCTAGAAGTGACATGTAGAAAATAAAAATATTAAGACTGGCAATTCTGGGAAGATGACAGTTGCTTAATTTTTTAAACTAAATACACACATAAAAGCATACCAGAGATACTAGGACAGCAAAACTCAAACCTACTGACTGCATCTAAAACAAAACTAGGTGATAAGGTATTCCCACCAAAACCAACAGCTGTAAGAGTAGCATGTTCTCAGCACCTATGAAAGAAAAAGCAGAGAGAAGCTAAGGAGTATGATGAACCCAAGAATGCCAAAGCAGTCCATAAATATGGGCCTCACAGCTCGGTAAGACTACCTGAGAACAGCAGCCTACAAGTGAAAGAGGTATGTCCACACCAAAAGTGGGTGATGCAAGTAGTTGGCTGTAAGATCTGAAGGGGCTACAAATAAACTCTCCAAACCCACCTGCCAAAACCCACTTCTAAAGACAAAGCCCCACACCCATACTAACAAGATGCTAAGGAAAGAATCCAAGTTGAACACAATGAGACAACAGAGACAAAAAAAAGAGTCCAGATAAAAGTTAAAAAGGTCTACAGACCAGAATGTATCAGAAAATGAGTCCTTTTTTTTTTTTAAACACTTCACGAAAACAAGAGAAAAGGGAACTATAGATCATGAAATTAGAAAAACTTTACTAAGTCAGCCCTCCCTCCTCAAGTTAAGGAAAATCAATTTCACATAAAAATGAGTAACAGAAAAGAACTGAGATCAAATGCCACACAAAAGAATTACATTCCTATAGATGATAAAAACATGCCAGAAAGAAATGCCCATAAAAAAAGATAAAAACTATAATCTAATATTCCAAAACACATGAAAAAAGTAAACTATGAGGTATAATATAACAGCATTACAAATACTAGAATTACATAATTCAGAAATAAGGTGGGAAAACTCAGGATAGAATTAGAAAAAAAAGAAAATCCATTTTGAAAATAGAGACTAAACTAGAAGAAATATAAGAGTGAATAAATGCAACAGATAATACCTTAAGGGAAATAACAGGTAAAAAAGAAAACTTTAAAAATCAAAAAGAAATTAAGAAAGAGATAAAATGGATTTAATAGAAGGTTTCAAATGTAAAAGACAAATGTAGAAGATCCAACATACATATGACAGGAGTCCTGAAAACAGGAAATCAAAGCAAGGGGGACAAAATAAACATGTAATTTAAAGTTCAAGGAAACTTTACTGAAATATAAAAATACATATATTCAAAACTACATATTGAAAGGACTCTCCACATACCTAAGAAAATCAACCCAGAACAACCCAGAACATCAAGAAATAGTCTATTAAAATTATTGTATTTTAAAAGAAGAGAACCAACCTATGGGTGATCTAGGCAAAACAATCACTTACGAAAGATCAGATTTTTTTATACCACCATCTAATGCCAGAATAAAATGTAGTAACACATTCCAAGATAGCTAAAGAACAAAATGTGAAACCAAGAATGTTTTTAACCACTTCACTGAGGTATAACAGACATACAATAAACTATACATATTTAAAGTTCATAATTTGTGAAGCTTTGGCCTGATTTCATATCCACGCAAGCTGATTTTCAAGGATAGAAGCCATATGTTATGTAATCGCAAGATGTCAAAGAATATTGTTCTCACAGGTTCTTGGAGAGGAATCTACTAGAGATCAAGTTTCAGATAACCACTGGAGACATGAACAAAAGGAATGGAGATAAGTGTTAAATACACTTAAACCAAATGAGAGTGATAAGGGAGACACCATGATGGGTGTATATTCTGATAATGTAGAAACGATACAATTATTTTTTAAGGGAAAAAAAAGGATTTAGCATAAGTTAAAAAAAGTTTAACTGTTTTTAGTAATCATGTTGGTATTCAAAGTATTGGAGTTGTTACTCTGATACTTTTATGTATGTCCTGTATGGGATGAAGTAGATAAGTAATTATGTGACATTATAATTCTATCAATCCCTATGTCCCTGAAAATCAGGATTATTGATATGGAAGAAAGGAAACATAGATGTAAGATAGAAGGGGTTAAGTAAAAACCCTGTGGTCCTGAATATAAACTGGAAGTATTAATATGAATCCATGAGATATCAAGTCCATCCATATCTTATGTTATTAGCAGTCCCCAACCTTTTTGGCACCAGAGACCAGTTTCATGGAAGACAATTTTTCCACAGACAGGGTGGGGGTGGTTTCAGGATGATTCAAGTACATTGCATTTATCGTGCAGTCGAACCTCTCTTGCTAATGATAATCTGTATTTGCAGCCGCTCCCCAGCGCTAGCATCACCGCCTCAGCTCCACCCTGAGGTGGAGGTGTTAGATTCTCTGAAGGAGGCACAACCTAGACACCTCCACGTGTAGTTTACAGTAGAGTTCCCACTCCTATGAGAATCTAATGCCCTGCTGATTTGACAGGAGGCGGAGCTCAGGCTGTGATGCAATAGGGAGTGGCTATAAATACAGATGAAGTTTCACTGCCTCACCTGCCACTCAACTCCTGCTGTGCAGCCTGGTTCCTAACAGGCCACAGACTGGTACCAGACCACAGACCAATACTGGTCCATGGCCCAGGGATTGGGTACCGCAGACTGCGGTTATATATGATATGTAAACTTTATATCAATAATATATCATATATAAATTTTGTTTCTAGCTAGCTATACATTTCAAACTCTGTCCCCCAGAAGGCCTAGCAGTGATGATGAACACAACAGTGAAGAAGAGCATTCCTAGCACCTACTGTCTCGAAATGACACTTCCCACTAAAAGAAATCAAGGCTTCTTGGAAAAAAATGTAGATCCAGGTCTGGGACAGGAAAAGGTTAAGATGAATACCTTGTTATTCTAGATAATAAGAAATCTATAAAAGACAAATGGGGTTGTGTTCAAAGGACTTAAAGAGGTTTCCTATGGCCAAAGTAAGACAATCTGAACATCAATAAATACAGGGGATGAAAACATACCAAATAATCCAACAGTTCGTAACAATAGAACAAAAACAAACCAAACCTTAATTGATTGCTTTTCATTTTGTTTGTTTGTATGCAGTGAACCAATTAAGTGACCACTGTCTGCCAACCACTGTTAGGTCAGTGGATAAAAGAAGTGAGGAAAAATTTTTGCTAACAGTTTAAAGGTTGAGACAGAGAAGAGAATGCACTGACTTACAAGTTGGCAAGTGCCTGAGCAATAATCCTGAGAACTACTTCCGTGCATCAAATACAATTAATGTAATACTTTAAAGAATAAGTAAACAGATATTCAGGGTGTGACTGTATGGAACTAAATAAATCAAATACTTTTAAAAGAATATTCAGCTTTAGGTTTTTTTCTTTTGAGATACACAATTGTATAAACTTTCTTCCAAATCAAAGGGTAGAGTGTGTGTGTGTGTGTGTGTACAGTTGATGCCAAATCATTTTTTGACTGCTCACTGTGAAGGACTGTCATAAACTACTTATGCAAGCAATATTTGCTTAGAAATATGTGGTATAATACTTAAGAGAAATTTTGACAATGACTATGAAAGAAAAGATATCAAAACTGTAGTTTCTAAAATCAAAACTATCCTATCATGATATAGTTAAATCAATATGTACACCAACATGTATACCTCCATAGCATTTTAAAGGCATGTAAAATATGAAGTATCCATATCAAAATATCATGTAATTCCAATAAAAAATTTAACACACACCCCCCAGTGCAGACTCAAAATGGGTGTGAAGAGCTGAATACACACACAAGATCTTTTTTAGTGTTAAGCTTCATAACCTCATTTAAAATATGTGCCATTTCATCTTTTTTATTTTGACCAACAAAACTGGCTTTTAAGGAAGTCACTTACCAATAAATGGCTCTCCTTCACACACAAACAAAACATCATCATCCCTGGAAAAATCAAAATTTAAAAAGCCACCATCAAAATCTGGAAATCACATTGATCATCTGTTGATTATAGGAATGATTCCTTAGAATTATATAAAATAGGTTTTGCTATCAGTCTTTTTTTTTTTTAAATTTAAAACCCCTGCTCGATTTTGGTTTGGCTATCACTCTATACAGCAAAGAAGTTACGTTTCCAGTGCTTTTTCCCCACAACTTAACTATCCCTGGATTTAAATTCAAAAATAGTATCTTACACATGAAAGTACTTTCAAAATAGAAAAAAAAAAAATTCCACTATACAAATTATGTGAATTCAGCTTATTAACTGAAGAATGTACTATTATGCTCAAAGGATATGATTAAAGCCATAGCTGATTCTAATTTTAATTTTTTATCCCTAAATAAATTATTGAGATTTTCCCCTGTATCATTAGCTGCTATGTGCTTTGGAAATGAAATAAAGCTTCATATTAAATCTGGGGAAAATATAACTGGAAGTAACTCTGCTATAAACACTTACCCACAACACATCCACCATAGACCCAAATGGAAATTATTATACATCACTCACAATTCTGTATTATCAGTATCTATCCTCCTCCTCCACCCCAGTCTATTACATGATTCGTATAAATAAATGACCAGAGACTGGACTGTGAACCAAAACCTAATAAACAGGTAGCTATTTTATAGCTCAGAAGGCTTCAGTTAGGACCTTCTTTGGTAGAAGTTTTTTTTTATTTCCTATAGGACATCAGAGGAATACTGAGTTTTCCTAAGCAGAGTATATAGATTGTGAAGGAGAAAGCTAGGCTGATGCAGATGATCCAACAATGGGACTCAATTATCCTCAGAAACTGAAAGAAGCTGGGAGATAGATATTGAAAACTAAGAAATTGCCCTAGCTTATTTGGATTTGAAATGTAGCCTATAACATTTTCTACTTGTTCACAATGCCAGTTAACTTTTTCACATTAGTATAAAAATTTATTTTCTTTTCATACAAAAATCAACTACTAAGCTATATGGCTGGGGTAAGTCACTTAACTTCACAGATGCTCAGTTTCCTCATCTATAAAATGAAGGGACTAGAACTGATTAACTTCAAAGGCAATATATCATATAGAAAGTTCACTCTGATCTGGATTTATACAGAGCTAAATTTTGTATATCCTATAATTTATAGCATCATCATCTTCACACCATCAATTAAAAAAAACCCATGTTTTGCCTATTAAATAACTTGGGCAAAGCAATTACAACTGGCACAGTCAATACTCAATTTGTGTTCCTTTCACTATCTTCTTTGTTAAGTCTCTTCCTGCTTCGAAATTCCACCCTGTGAAGACAGAGTGAGGTGAACTACACACTTCTGTTAATCTGCCTAGGATATTTAAAAAATAAGCCCACCACTGAGGTGGATCACTTATGATATCTCTACCTAGAGTTCTATCATATTTAACCAGTTTTCACAAAAACTGGTCTCTATAATGTTTATAAAATTCAAAGCACTTTTAGGAAATGAATTTAATAACAAGCAGTTGCATAGAAAAGTAGTGATCAATTCGATTTTTAACATTAAAAGCTGCGTGTCTTATTAGGTCCATCTCTAGTACCGCAAAAAAGAAATTCCTCATAGCCATATATGAACTATGCAGGAAGACTATAGGTATACTGCAGTGTACTAAGGGTTTTCTATCTGATCAATAGGCCCTAAGTCCAAATGACTTAAATTTCACAGAGCAAATTCTAGGCAATCACTTGCCCAAATCCTGTATACTTAACAGTGATTAAGCTACTGCTTAAGGGAAACAGCATAGCACCAGGAAACTGAGGCACACTGTTGACAGCTTATAAAAAGATGAAGGTTACCTGATCAAAGCAATATCATCAATCAGTCCACCTTTCCCATTATACACACTGGTGGCTTTGATGCCGAGTTTACTGCTGGCCACAGAAAGCAAATCAGATAAAGTTCCATATACAGCAACCACCTGTAAACACACCAGATTTGAACAACTTATTTAATAAATTTCATCACCCACAAATTATAAATCATCACACTACAAACAGAACTAAAAAAATCAGATTATCACATAAAAGGAGATTTCAAGAAGTTCTTTACAGTGTCCCTTTTTCTTCTACTTAGTGCCTAATACTGCAGATTGCAGAATGGCAAAATTAGAGAAAAAGAAATCACCTGAGTAAAACCAATCTACAATCTTAAAGTATGTTAAATATTAATAGTACTCCATTCTGAAGATAGACCTGTACTTGAATCTAGATTCTGACATAGTCTAGCCATCAACTTGAGATAAATAACTTAACTTCTTTATGCTTCTGGTTGCTTTAAGTAGAAATGAAAAAAACAGTAGCACCCACCTCAAAAGGTTATTATGAGGATGAAATGAATTAATGCATGATAAGAGCTTAGTTAAGTGCCTCCTGAGACCTATTAAGAACTTATTGTGTTATTCTTAAATTACTCCTTTGTTATAGGAATGGTTCATTTTTAGAAGAATGACTTAGTGCTGTTTATTCTATCTTTACTGTATCAACCACCATAGGAAATATAACTTTCCACCTCATTGAATTCTTCAATAACTACTCATATTCATTATTTTATAACAGCCAGACTTGAGAATCTAACATTATGAATACATCAGAGAGCTGGGTGACAATGAATCAGGCACAGTCTGATGTATGTGTAAGATACACACAACTGATTAAGCAGGGGGCTGACAATCTCTACACGTAAGTAAATTTTGTGCTCTGGTCCTAACTGTAACTATGGGCTCCCGGTGGCAGAGTTGTACCACTATCAGTTAGGACCTCTGAAAGTCGTAAGTAAAGGGTAGATGAAGAGCTGTGAGGCATGACCAGTAAACGGACTTCAGAAGAACATTGCATAAAGATGCTACACAAAAGGAGGACCAGGTGACTGGTGTATGGTAGACAATTTTTAGTTAAATAAAGTAAATAACAGGTCACCAAGAGAGGTGATCACTAACATGAGGGTGCAGTCATTCAAAAGCAGAGTACTCAAATTCCAATTTTTTTTCTTGGATCTGAAAGATGAAGGCCAGAAGAGTACAGCCAGTTGGGGCATTTGGGGGAAGGATTGAAGGCAAAAACTAGGTCGATGATAAACAATAATGCATAACTCAAATGTCCACAAACAGATGAGTGGGTAAACAAAATGTGGCATACACATACAATGGAATATTATTCAGCCATAAGCAACAATGAATTTGACATATGCTACATATGCATGCTGTATATGGAAACTTGAAGACATTATGCTAAGTGAAATAAGCCAGACACATAAAAGGACAAATATTGTATGATTCCAATTACATGAAGGCACCTAGACCAGGCAAATTCATAGAGACAGAAAGTAGAATAAAATGGTAAACCTTGGTATATTTTACCATGATTAAAAAAAGAATGCAAAGCACTTGGCACAGTGTCCTGCACACAGCAGGCGTGCCATAAATAATTGAAGCCTGAGTAAAATAGGTCTCCCATATTTCCTTTCATTTTTCACCTCTGCAACAGAGGATGTAATTCTGTCATTGCATGTACACATTCCTGGGAGAAAGGGAAGAGAAGTACAGCACTCAGGGCATTACACACAGCAAATCTGGTGTGTTAAGGCAAAGACCGTGAAAAGAGTAGAGAGAAAGAAGAAAGCAGCAAAAATGCAAAGGATTAAGAGATCAACCAAGGCAGGTGAGGGAGGGTTAAGAAGCTCCTCTTTTCCAACATCAACATTCTTGTTATGACTGCTATTCTACTAGAAAATTTTCTAAATCTTTTCGTCTTTTATCTTGTTTCCTGTATATCTCTACATGGCTTTCTTCTGTCAGATACAATCCCGTCCTTGCTCTAACATCAACTTTCTCCCTCAGCATTTCTTTCACTGTTTTTGGCCATACTGTAAAATAGACACAAGTTTAATGTATTTGTCTGTTATGCTCCTGTATTTCACTTAAATGTTAGAGTGTAAGATTTTAAATGATTTTTCAAAATGTATCAAATTAAATTGTTGTCCACTTCTATTATACTAATAACTGACTTGGCTTATGGCCACTCGCCATGTTCTAAAGCTGTACTGTCCAACGTGGAAGCCACTAGCCACATGAGGCTATTTCAATTTTTATTTATTAAAATTAATTAGAAGTTAAAATGCAGTCCATTAGTTACATTAATCATATTTCAAGTGCCCAACGGTGAAAATGGCCAGTGGTTACCATATTGAACAGTGCAGATATGGAATATCTCCATCATCACAGAAGTTCTGTTGGACAGTCCTGTCCTAAAAAGCAGAATAAAACAAAGAACAAAAAATAAAATCTTTTTTTGATTCTGT